CTTTGAAGTGCCACTTTCACTTATCATTTTTAGGCCATTACATTGTAGGCAATGGTTTATACTATGTGAGGAGCAAGATGAGGAGAGGTGATCCCTTTTTTTGGGAAAGTTAAGGGAACACACTTTCACTGTCACTTGAGACTTCTTAAAATGGGTCTTAAGAGACCGGAGAGGCCTTGTAAAGCTTGTGCTTTTACACTCCAATCATATAGTGTTCAGTGAAAGTATGACTGCGCAATGTATTGTGCAGCTATACCAGTTGTAAGTGATAACTAATTGTGTAATTCTACACAGAGTACACTATTTCATATAACTATGACTATGTACTGTGTATTAACTTGGTTCTTAGGACTTTCACAAGGGCACAGCAACCCTGTAAATTTTGTACATAGAACATGGTTATTTTGATTACTTTTTAAAATGTATTTATTTTATTTAACCAATCACCCAATGCTTATCCAATGCCAAGATGTTCATATGTGTATTTGAACATACATTATCAACAATAGAGATGTATAGATTTAGAGAGACCTAGATATTCCAGTTTTAAACTTTTTTTATTTTTTTTTATTTTAACAGGAGAACTTCCCGTGCCAAGGATGGGGAACAGCCTGACCCGTATGAGTTTAGTGATTCAGAGGACACTACTGGTAGGCATTTATGAACATGTTACTTTCATGTGCTGACTTCATATGTTTACTCTACAAGCTAGCTAGTTTTCCATAGCTCTGGTTCTCAAAATGTGTCCCTTATTATATTTGCTACAGTTTTTAAAGGACCTGGCAACTGTAGTTGCTTGTGTTATAATTAGAGACAAAGCTGACATCTCTGCAATAAATGAATGCTTTAGGATAAATATTTGAATGTGTCTTAGGAACCTGTGGAATGGTAGTACTATTCTCTTCTCACATTTGGAAATCTTAAAATGTATTTTTGTTTAATGTGATACAGTTCAGGTCCATACACCGAAGACCCCTGACGCAGGACGTGAGAAAATGGAAACCGATGCAGATTCCTCTAAACCAAGCTTATCTGGAGACAGGCAAGTGCCATTTGGATTTCACCCAATTATGCTACATTATTTTATTACATTCTTTCTTTATGACAGTATGTTTGGAGCCATTGAGACTTTGAGATTTTATATCTCTAATCTCCCAACATGAGTAAGACAAATATAGGCATCCTTATGCAAACGAGTGAAATGAATGGGATAGGTAAAAGAAAACGAGGAAATTGATTAAGGGTGGTGAACGGAGAATGTTGGTGTACAGGTGGAGTTGGTAGGTTCTGAAGCCAGGCATTTTAATTCAGTCAAAAAGTGTTGTTTTTCTGATCAACTACACTATGATTAGTTTTTGTCTATTTATTTTTTTTTCCCTTTTTTTTTATGTAACTCTTCTCCTCTTTCAGACTTAAAGCTTTCAAGGCTGCTCTTCTGGATGCCTTTAAGGCTGCACATGCACAATCTATAGCCATGCCAGCACTGATGGATGCCATAAACAAGAACAATGAGTCCCCCTTCTCTCAAGGGGAGGTGAAAGCCGCTCTGGAACTTATGGAAGATGCCAACCATATTATGGTTTCTGAAAACATAGTTTTCTTAATCTGATCTTTTTAATGCACCATGTTTTACAGCCTCAAAGCATGGTTTAATGTGTAGAGGTCACAGCCAGAGATTAGCAATCTCTGAAAACATTTTGGCTTATTTTACAAGCTGCCTAGATAGCCTTCGTATTTCACACTTCACTATCTTAATCGATTTCCTAAACCAGGGAAAATGACCATCTCTCAAAAATGATAGTTTGGGTTTCTACATACACTTTTTGTATGTTTCTGCAACTGGTTACTCTAAAACTTTTTTTTTTTTTTCTCCTTTTAAAATGGCTCCAATTTTTATTGTAAATAGTTTTACAAAGTCTTTTTTTAATTGTGCCTAAAATGCAGATCTTCAAGTTATAGTTGGTTCACCCTGTTCTAGTCCCTCTAGTGTAGAAAATACCTTTTCTATATCTCAAATTGATGTCCATGACTTTACAGAATTTAAATTTATTTTATCTCAAGATTAGAGATATCTTGGCATGGTTTAAATGAGCAATATTTAATTATCTTTTTAAATATTGTAAACCATTTTACATTGTTACTACTTATTTGCCTGCCATATAGTGATGCTTAAATATACTGGACAGTTCTACTCAACTACAAAGTATGCGTCATTCTACCAGAAAATCACAAACACACTTGCTTTTGGTCATTTTTATACTTGTGGATGTGATGCATGTTTTAAAATATGCAATAAATATCTTTCTGTATATTCGTGTTTATTTTAATATATAAATATACTGCATATTTGTCAAGTAGCACAAGACAAGATTGCACCTGTCTTAGTGTATTGTCACCGCTGAATGTCAAATATTATCTTGCATTTTCTTAAAGGGATATATCTACAAACAAATTCTCCAGCAATTACATTTATAAACCAACAAAGCTTTACCTGGCTACAGACTTAACAGTAGTGTGACATTACACCATAGGAACTGTGTATATAGAACTTGTAATAAAGTAACACTCTAGGAAACAGAATCACATTACATTCTGCCCAGATGCCTTGTCTTTCCGGGGAACAGTGTCTTCTAATCCAAGCAGTGTAACTATCATTTTGCTAAGTGCACACAAGGCATAGCGTGCTGACTCGTCACTCAGTATAAATACCATAGTTACTTTAATAGCACATTAAAAACCTTTGCAATATCGTTTGACATGACTTGTGCTAGTGCAAATCAGGTACAATGCTCCACGAAAAGTCTTCATTCAAATGATATTTAAAGAAAAAGGGAAAAAAAAAAAAGCTTGCTGACCATTCCAAGGTGTTGGAGAAAGGGAACAAATCCAAAATCCTGGTGCTATGAGATCTACTTTAAAGGGTTGCTGCATGTGGTAACTATGTTTAGAGTATCCTGGTGCTGTTGTCTGGTAATGGGGCGAACAGTGTGTCATGCCCTGTATAAATATAATAAAGTTTGAAATTCCCCTTTGGGCAAGTTTACAAACTCTGCCCTGGCTAGTGTGCTTTTTATATACACTCTCTTGGTTCAGTGGCAAATAAGTAGAGTGAAACTTGAAACCCTGCACTGAAGGAACACTCCACGAACAGAAAGCAAGTATATCTGCTGAATTGCGATTTGGCTGGAGACTCCCAAACAGCAAGGAGGGGAGGGGAGGGGGGTTCTTCACCGTCCATTAGCTTAACAGAGCTAACAGAAGTGGTGGACCTGCTGTACTAGCACACCTGTGTTACCCTTCTCAATAAGCCTCTGGTTTATTCTCTATCACAGACTGAAAGCTTGCAAGGATGCAGACAATATCTGCAGCTTTTGCAATATATATATAAATCGCACTCTTCCCTGCCTTATCCCCCCCATATGATAAAATGCATGTTTGTTTTTACTGGTGCGTAAATCTGTTACATTGCAATTTAAATGAAATAAAATTGGGGCAATAAGTGTTCCTTTAAAGATCAAAGCGTACACTAGTTTAAGTGCCCCCTAGGTGCACCTTCCAGTGGAGAGATCTAGAACAGATTCCCTCCACTTGCTATGTTCAGTGATGTTATAGGGGCAGAGTTCATAACAATGACTAAAGAGGCCAAGAGAAAACCACTCCAAACCAGAAAAGAGACGTCTGCTTTCCTACATTTTAACGTTTAATTTTCAGACCTCTCCTATACATGTTTGTTAAATATAACGTGTACATATAAAATTATAATAAACCTAATATTAAAATCCATCTTGTTGGCTTTATTGCCAGCACTTTACCATGCTCAGTCCCAATCACATTTGGTATCACTCCATTGCTTGCATTGAGAAATGAAAACCATAAATCGAATAAGCAAACTGGTAAGGGAACAGCACATTAGGCCACAATTATCAAGCTAGGAAAATTGCTGAGTTGATTTCCCCCACCATTCCTTAAAATTGTCTACCCTGTCAATTCTCTCAGTATAAAGTATTCATAGTAATCTGAGTATATAGAATATCATGTGTTAATTATCCCAACTTAAGTTAACTGCATGGACAAGTAGTTTTGTTTTTTTTTTAACTAAAAGAATATTCATCACGAGTCTGTAAAGATACATTTATTCAGTCCATAAATATATTTACATTCATCACTGTTAACACTTTCTATAGCATGGCAAATAATTCAAATATATGGCTGCGTTGATTGCACAAATTTGTGTTACTTTTCATTGTAGTAAAGTGTCAAAGTAACCTGACAGTATCAGCACAACCTCGCCTACTTAATCTATTCTTGATACATTTTTATAATTAGATTAATTTCTAAGAAATATACAGCATTTTGCTTGTGTAAACAGAAAATGCAATGTGTAGTCACGAAACCCACTTAAACCAATTTAGGCTGTAAGCCAACTGGCAGGGCTGTCAAAACATTTAGCGAAGGCTCACTCTAACGTAACAGCTGCAATTTGTAAAATTACTCTGGCAAGCTAGCTGGGAGATGAAATTCCTTATACATACATGTCCTAACTATTGTGTCTATAATATAAACCGTGAGTATCCTTTAAAAATGCATTACTACCTTCAAATTACTGAGCTGCTTATGTGTTATCTTGCCAATCATGACTAGTCACTGAATTGTGATTTGTTGCAAATTAAAATCCAAAATTGAAAAATTGTGTGGCCACAATGGCCAAGCAGTGACTATAGGGAAGTTGGATAATTTTCCCTGATCAGCAATTTTAGTCTTAATTCTATCCCTATTTCATGACTCCAGAAGTGGCATATGCGAATCAGTTTTGGGCAGCTATTTTAATCCATAGAGTGTGTAATTGGGCGTTTAATTAACAGACTGTGGCACATAAATATTTTCTTACCTAAAATTTGAAAATTGTTGACAAAACACACTTTTTAGCCCAACATTGCATTATCAGTTCTGCAAAATTAAGTTCAGTGAATAGACATGTTCATTTATCGATTGTTCCTCTGAAAGTGATCATCAAATTAAGTTTGTTCTAGAAAATTGTTAGGGTTCAGTGGATTCAAGTGTCGGCTAATTAACTGTTCATACCTGGAGATGTATGTTTAATACCTGGCAGGGTCAAATCAGCCTTTATTATCAGCATAATATCATGAAAACTATTCAATTGTATATCTAAACCTGACAGTACTTTGAGTGCAAATGGGATGAAAAATACTAAATACGTTATTTTATCAGAAGAAACATAAAATGGATTTTATCATAGTGATGGGTTTGTCCATGTTAAAATGATTGCATTTATTCAGCTCGTTTTTTTTTTTTACTCCAGAACTTTGGAAAGTCGATCAGTTAATTTTTTCAATAATGCGTGGATTGATACACGTGCATCCAACGGTCATCATTGCAGAATGCAGAGTAAAGAAACCCTTTTCTTTCTTGAGATATATGATTTCTCTATCTATTGCCACTGCATTCAATAAAGTCTCGAAGCCAACACACTGTTTAGAGCAAGTGATCTTGGGAATTGTTGTTGGGATTGTTTGCCCTTTAGAATTTGACCTGCAGAGATATAGTGCTGATTAGTCATGTTTCATAGCAATATTTGTCTTACAAGTGTGGTATCTTAGGTATAAGCAGTTGCATGGATCACATTTCTGCGACCCAAAGTCAGTAGGAAGCAGGGAGGTTGAAAAAAACAAACAAACATTGAACCAGATAGTTTTACTGTGGTGTCGAATGGAGCATCTGCCTAAATCCCAAGTATTTCAAATGCTTCTTTTACACAACAAACTGCATTCTAAATTCTGATCTTTAGAGGCCTGGCCTATTCTACACTGAGCCCAGTTTGTGTGCACAATACCACATTTAAGAAGGTAAGAAGGGTCTTTAGCCCACTGTGGGTGATTGTATGACAGGTGGACCCCTATCTTGTCTGCAGGCAGAGAGCTTCACTACCCTACTGTGCTATGTTTGTACAGTGGTGAAATTACATTGGTAAAGGTGCAAAGAAGAAGAGGCGCTGCAATATTTGCTGGCACTGTATAAATAATAACATTTAAATAATACAGTACAAAGAGGTTTATAGACAGTGAAAATATAAAACAAATAGAGAGACCAAAAAAAATAAATAAATGTGAAAGCCAGTTACAGACAGGACAGGATGACTATATGGCCCTTTTATTCTAATAATCTGGTACTGGTAGTCTGATGTGTATGCAGGGGTCATAAGTTAAATGTCACAGATATGGAGGAGCTAATTACAGAAACTTACACTATTGTCCATGGAACAATGGATCGGTTCTCCAGGTTTGCTATACTGTTTTGGTAAGATGTTCCGTCACTGGACTTATTTGGTAACTTTACAAGGATGCAGTCTTTACAGTCTGTCTTCTGTTTTTGACACCTTGCCTTCTTTGAGGACGTTGAATTTTTAGCTGCTTGCGTCACGTGGGTGATCAATATAAGAGTCAGGAGAGGCAGGACCTTAGGAAACAATTTTTAAAAGATCTTAGTGCTTTCTTCACAGGTGCTCACTATGATAGACATCTAAGACGACTGCGACAGTGAGCCATCGATGGAAACTCCTACATATTACTATTGCATCAGGAATGCCACGATATACATTTGAGTGCAAAACATTCCCGTGACCCAAAATAGAAATCTATTATATTTTTTGTAGCATTACTTGTACAATACATTTATCCAGAGACATTTACACAGATTAGTCATTATTCATCTATTAATTATTACTCTTAACAAAAGAGAGAGAATTGGGTAAAATCAGACAATATAAAGCGGGAACTAGGGGAAGAGGTCAAGGTGTTGGGTAGAAAGGTCCAAAGTTAGGGCTGAGTGGGAGTGAAAATGTTGCTTATTTATAAAAGGGGAGAGCTAACTGCGTCTTCTACAAATCCTAACCTCATCATAAAGTGGTTTATTCACTAGAGGCAATGCTGAAACCTGAGTTGGAAATGTAAAGATCTAAAATAGCAACGTTGTGCCTATAGTTGAGTTCTTCCAAATTTGTTTCCAATTCTTGCAGTTTTTAATTCACTGCAATTCTGTTTTTTTGTTTTTTTTTTAAATAAAGCACACACATGATTAAATGTCATGCATAAAATTATCTATTTACCCATTTCCCGTAGTATGTAAATCCATAAAAGTATGCTGTTTAATATATTTGTTGTGTTGATGGGATATAGTTATTATATGTCCACCCCAATAAATCTTCCATAGAAACATAGAAACATAGAATGTGACGGCAGATAAGAACCATTCGGCCCATCTAGTCTGCCCAATTTTCTAAATACTTTCATTAGTCCCTGGCCTTATCTTATAGTTAGGATAGCCTTATGCCTATCCCACGCATGCTTAAACTCCTTTACTGTGTTAACCTCTACCACTTAAGCTGGAAGGCTATTCCATGCATCCACTACCCTCTCAGTAAAGTAATACTTCCTGATATTATTTTTAAACCTTTGTCCCTCTAATTTAAGACCTCTTGTTGTGGTTAATTGACTTTATAAATAAGGCTTAATAAATAATGAACATACATACTATGTAGAATAAATAATTATATGCAAATGCAAGAATATTTTAAATCAATGAAAAAGCACAACACATATTATATATATAATATATTGCCCTTGTTTCTTACCTGCCATAACAGCGTTTTACCCAGTGGTCTCATTTTTGTGTGTTGAGTAGTATATGATAAATGTGATACATTTGCACTTTGTTTTGTCACTTTATTATAACGCCTTAACATCCCCTCCTCTTTCTTGTGGTTACAAACATTAAAACCCTCCTATTCATTAACTGAGTCAAATTACTTACCGATAGTACGAGAAGTAGACAAAAAAATTATTTGCAACTTTTCCAACTTTACCTCGAAAACCACTAACCAAATATTTCAAATGAACACAAACCATTTAATTTCCGCTGCTTGCAAGGAAAAATAAAAGCTTTAAGGGCGTACATTATTTTCCTCTCCAATGCTTGATTTGCCCTAGATTTGTATTTTAATTTATAATATGGTTTATTTTAGAATATTGCTTAATTTATTTGTCGACAGGATCAGTAGGTAAAACTTGTTCAGACTTGTTTGCAGACAGTGGATTTTTTGGGTTTATGGGCTGGTGATGAATCGGGTTCATTGTTTAGGGCTGATGGGGAAAGAAAATGAAAATAACTTAAAAATGAAAATAATTTTCCTTTAAGATATTTTATTATATATCATGAATAATTTATTTATTTATAAAATATTTTACCAGAAAAGATACATTGAGATTTCTCTCATTTTCAAGTATGTCCTGGGTCCACAAAACATTGAATTGTTACATTAGGGTACAATAAAATACAAAAACAATATTAATACACAATATATACAAAATTTAACATAGAACAGGTAGGAAATATATAGTCATCCATGACACGTGCATTCTGTTTTGAGGTATGTAGAGAGGGATCTCTTAAAGGACTTTAGGCTTGGGGAAGACTTTAAAGTGTGCGGGAGGTCGTTCCACAATTGCGGTGCTCTGTAGGAGAAAGAGGATCTGGCTGCTTTCTTTTTGTATTGAAGTAGACTAAATAAAGTGCTGGTACTGAATCGGAGGTCTTAGGAGGTGGTAACAACCGAGGAGAACATTCTGCTCAGGTAGGGCGGAGCTTCCCAGAAAAGCTCTTAAATACAAGGCTGGAAAGATGAAGGGTGTGTCTGGATTCCAGCGACAGCCAGTTTAGTTCTTTTAGCATGTCACAATGGTGGGTCCTGTAATTATATTGTAGCACAAATTGGCAGAACGATAATCAGTGAAAGCACATTTTTAATTTAATAAAGCTTTTTTTGTGGAGGATTTTTGCGTCCATTTACTACAATTTGAGTTGATCTGGGTTTAACTGCATGCTACTAATACAAAACAGTGGGCAAATTGGTTCTTCATTTAAATCAGGGGTTTACCCTCACCTTTAGGATGGCAAAGCATCCAGGGAGTTATAGTTACCAACTAAAACACCATCTGAAAAATGAAATGAACCTGGGTGGAGGAAATCTGACTAGGACTAGGTTTAAAATAGAAATAGAAAAAAAATCTAAGTAAATAATGAAGAAGAATAAATTGTCTCCATGCCTAGGCATCCAATGCTCCAGTTTGCCAGCATACAGCTGAAGGACTCAGCACCATTTAAATGTCAATCAGTTACAAATGACACACTATGGAGCAGCAGATAAGAACCAACCTCAGTAGAAACATCAAGTCTCTATAAAGAGGAGCCGTGGAGCCCAGTCCTTATTGAAGTCAATGCTCCTTTTAACGATTCTGCAAAACATCTGTTTGTCCTGGGTTTAGCACGTTTAGCAACTTCTAACAGATGCCCTGCTTTTGCTGACACTGGTTCAGTGGGAAGAAGAGTATTTTTCAAAGTTTATATAAATGTCTTTATTATGTTTTTGTAATGAACATGCACTCCTTACTGGATCTCCACTTTATATGTCAACTATAAGAAAGTATTTTACAGCACTGTGTTATAGGTTGGGCATAAAAAACAGGTAACAGGCAGCTGAAACATGAAATGTGTGCATTCCAGTAGGAAGATCCAATGAACTGAGCGTAGAAGATTGGGTTACCTGGCATACCTCCACTGTCTCATACATACCCATTGATCGCAGACCAGTTCTCATGCCCCCACCGGTTCACGGTTTAGAAGTTTCACAATTGTTTTCAGAAATGGGATATTGCATAATAATGGACCATGGAGATTAAAGTGAGGAGAATGTCTGCAAACTATTTGGAGACCACTTCCCTACAAGAACGTTTTTGCATTTGCTTTATCTTGGTTCTGTGGAGCTCTCTCCAATGCACATGGGTGTGTGTGGACCTGGGAACTGTAATAGCTCAGGATGTATATTTTGTCCACAATATTCCAAGTCCCATACATGTTTGGGTGTTGACCCATGGATTCTTAACAACTTGAGGTACATGTATCAACTTGGCTATCAGGAACCTATACCCTGTAAGGTGAGGATTGACCATGCTATCTGTAGGCACTCTAATTGGCTGGATGTATTTTACTAGGCAATTGGGATCATGAAGACCTGAAAACATCCAACATGAGAACTATTAACTGTCTTGGTGCATAATTATTTCTGTCATTTGCATACAAAGATCACTTTGCATACACACAACACTAAAATTACCTGCCTAATATCTTGTAGGTCTCGCTCGTGCTGCCAAACATGATACATTGAGGCATGGACTCCACAAGACCTCTGAATGTGTCCTGTGGTATCTGTGAATACCTTAGCAGCAGATTCTTTTATTTTGCAAGCTGCGAGTCAGGGCCTCCATGGATTGGATTTGTTGTTCCAGCACATCCCAAAGATGCTCAATTGGATTAAGATCTATAAATTTTGAGTCCAAGGCAACACTTTGAACTCTTTGTCATGTTCCTCAAAAATTCTTGAACAATGTTTGCTGTGTTGCAGGGTCCATTATTCTTATGAAAGAGGATAGTGCCATCAGGTAACATCATTGAGGTAACATCATTGCCATGAAGTAGTGTATGTGGTCTGCTACGATCTTTTGGTAGGTGGTATGTGTCAAAGTTAAATCCACATGGATACCAGGAACCAAGGATTCCCAGCAGAACATTGCCCAGATGGCAGGCTGTTGGAGGCACTGCCTCCAACAGCCTGCCATCTTCCTATAGTGCATCCTTCTGCCATCTTTTCCCCAGGTAAATGATGCATACGCACCCGGCCATCTACCTGATCGAAAAGAAAATGTGATTAATCAGACCAGACAACCTTCTTCCATTACTCCATGGTCCAGTTCTGACTCTCACCCTCCCCATTGAAGGCACTATCGGTGGTGGACAAGGGTCATCATGGGAACTCTGATCGGTCTGCGACTGCACAGCCCCATATTCAGCAAACTGTGATGCACTGTGTGTTCTGACACATATCTAACATGGCCAGCATTAATTCTTTCAACAATTTGATCTACAGTAGCTCTTCTGTGT